GCTTGTATGTAAATAACTGCATATTAATTAGTTTACACCTTTATATTGACAGATTTCTAGATTTAAAAGATATACACCATAATTGCTCTAGTGTACTGGTTCCCTCCCTGGGTTATAATAGTTGGACCACTTAATTGTGTCCTGGGCTCAAGTGTCCTCTTGGAGAGCCAGAGGCTCTGAGCTTGGCGGTGCATGGCTTAACTCATTGACTGGGAGGGATCAGCTAGGGTGCTCTGATTATTAGCTGACCCTGCTTTACAGGGCTTAGATCAGGGGAGCTAACAGAAGCTCTAGTCTACACACTTTCCAGCACTCTTGAAGGCTGTGACTGGCACCCAACAGACAGTTTGCCTTCTTACCCTGGGAGGGTGACAAACTGCTCCTGGCACCATAACTACAGCTTTCAGCAATTGTTATAGTGCTTAGAGTGTTAGAAAAATTAAATTCTTTCAGATGCACGTAAAGCTGTTAATTATCATTTTGTATCTTTTAGCGGATAAATTCAAAGTCATCTGCCAATTAGTAGCAGGGGTAAACATTCTCACTACTAAAAGGGGTGAGTGAAATACATCCAACCCTCCCCACCCCATCAGTTCTAGCACTACAATTCCCATGATGCTTTGTCAGCCTATTTTCAACCTTCGAGAACGGGGTTTTTTTTTTTTTTTTTTTTTTTTTTTTTTTTTGTGTAACTTCAGTGAAGTCAAAGATTATTGTAAAATTCTTTAGAGGTTCTGCAATAAAAAAGGAATAACTACTGTTTTTATGGTGTTTTTTTCACCGGGATCATTGAATGCCTTTGTTTTGTTTTTTTCCTTTTACTATGATGGCATGTGATCTTTTCTTATCTTATATTGCAGAATTGAACAAATGCATGAATGTATATATTTTTTTTGCCGTAGGGTAGATCTGCTATATGTTTATTTTTTATTTTTCCTCCTCAAAAAGCATTCTTTGAAAAATGCATGTATATGCTGCCAAATAATTATATAAATGCCTTCTGACAGTTTGTGAACACTAAAATGTTAGGTACTTTCTTAACAGAATAAATTGAATAGATAGGAACAGAACATCTTAATCAGAATTGCATGAGTAGGAATTTTTTTTTTTTTTTTTTTCTCTTTTGTCATTCAGATGTTAACGGCTTTTGTGTTGATCTGTGGTTGTGTTTTTAAGTGTTATTTAAAGGAACATGTATTTCAAATACTATAGCGTTATACAAACCATTTAGATTCAGCCACATGCATGTTTCATACACTCTGAATTGACTTTAACAAACCAAAATAATCTAGTTCAAGATAGATCCTAGAGTGATAAGCAGGAATGTAATGTTTGTATAAGTTCTACCTCCCCAGATGGCAAAAATGAATAAATGAGATGAATGTGATGCTTTTCTATTTTTTTAGTTATTATTATTATTATTATTATTATTATTATTATTAATAATATTTAAATAGCGCCAACAGATTCCCTAGCGCTTTACAATATTATGAGAGGGGGGATTTAACTATTTTAGTTACTAGTGAAGTGCATGATTATCTCTGTAAACGTCCTAAAATATATATTTTTAATATTTTGACACCTGTTGATGCTATGTAATTAGCACCAACACTGTTTTAGTTTTTAGTGGCATTTATTGTGTAGCTGAGATTTCTTTGAGATGATTGATTCTGTTTAAATATTCTGCTTTACTGCCCCTTTTCCTTTTGAGCATACAGGTTAATTTTTTTTTGTTTGTCTCCTAAAGGAGAACACTAAAGCGTTAGGAATTCAAACCTGTATTCATATTGCTCTAGTGACCCTGTCACCTCTCTTCCTCCTGTGACATTATTGAGGAGGCATGGTTTCCTTTGGTGATGGTTCAGTTCAATGCTCATATAGTAGCATTACAGCCTCATCTAATCTTCCCTATAGGAAAGAACTGAATTCAGTGCTTTCCTATGAGCTGCAACTGACTTTCAAAGTTGTCCTAAATCACTTTCACATGCCTGGAGCCATGTCGGTTATAGGCCATCATGCAATAAAGATGTCTACCACAGCATTGTGTGAGAATTTATTTTCTTAACCGATGGCTGATGGGAAGTCTTAGGATTTGACAGTGGAAGGTTTGTTCATTGCCACTTTTTGCCAGAAATTTAATCTCTACTATGTGTAATGTAAATCTCCTGAAAATAGTGACATTTAAATGATTTGTTACATTGGCAATTAGAGCATATTGTCCCTTATATTCTTCTTTAAAACCTTTCAGTGTTTTCTGGTATGTATGCCTGGTCTTTGTTTGTTTGAATGTACAAGGTTCATCTAGATAAATGGTGTGTTTTCTGGTATTATTTTGGGTCCTTAAGATTTTTTTTTTTGATTTTTTTTGATTCTTTTCTTACTTCCTCTCAAAATGTTTAATAGAGCATAGTGTTCTTTGTTTTTGTTTACATCGTTCTCATGCTTGGGTCACTTTGTAACCCATAATAATTTTGTAGTTGTGTATCCATTTTTTTACACATTAGTCTCATACTATATCTTTTTAATTTAATTTTATTTGACTTCCAATTGAACATAGTAGTGGAAAATGGCATCAGTTGAGACACACAGGTCTCGAAATCAGGGTCATCGGTGAACATGTTAATGTAAAACATTCGAAACCACATGGGTTACACAATATGAATTATGGCACGAGACACGCCGGTCTCCTTTTCCGATTTGGAAATCTCGAAAAATATACGGAAAGACAAAACCTTATTCAGTTTTCTGATTTTGTATGAAGGGTTTAACATATAGGGAAACCAATAAAAGAACAAAACAGGGCTAGGGGGAGTTGCCCTGAATCAAACGTCAAGTCACTCTTGTTGGAATGGTACCCAAATAGGCTCTGCACCAAGAGCTTTAAGCAACTGTTAATACAGGGTTTGACAAATTTGCTTCGAATCTAGGAGCCAGCAAAAAAAGTTAGTAGCCAGGTTTTTCAATGTCAAAAATAGAATTCTTAAAGGGATGCTAAAGTCACCAGAACCACTACAGCTTAATGTAGTGGTTCTCATGTCTCTAACCTGTCCCTCCACACTCTTCAATGTAAACTCTGCCTTTTCAGATAAAAAGGCAGAATATACATTGTAGCCTAATAATGCTTCTAGGGAAAGTCACTCAGTGTTCCCCATAGAAATGCATTCATTAATTTCATCTTAATGAGGAGTTGCTGATTGGCGCAGCATGGTGTTTTGCCACATATGCGCAATAGGCTCCCAATGCTTTCCTATGGGAAAACATTGGATTGGCTGAGATCATCAAGAGTGATGATCGCAGTCATGGAGGCAGGGCCAGCTGCGGTGAGACCAGCACAGTGTGGTGGGGGAAAGGTGTGTAAAAACCCCTTACCCATGTGATTGGAGAGGGACCAGTCACCTAAACACACGCTCGCTGACGCGTGTGCATTCACTGTCTCTGCAATAACACACATAAAGGTGACCACCCAGCCTCCCTACCTGAAGCTGTAGTGGTTTGGCTTTACCTGCAGTCCAGTGGTGCTTCAGTCATCTCCCTACTCTACTCCATTGAGCACTTTTTAGTGATGCTGGGGCCGGAACTACTTTATATTCCGGATCCCGGCATCACTGGAGGACACGAGGGAGCAGAGCAGGGAGGGAGGTTAAAGCTCCCTTGCGCGCGCCTTCCTGTCTGCCTCAATCTTCCATCCCATGCTCTCCATCAACTGGCCGGCCGACCACCCGCAAATGCTCTCCATTCATAGGCAGCCGACCACCTCAGGGGCTGAGTGGACTAACAAATCCCAGATGCCACGTCTAAAATCCTAGTTGACCTGACGTCTGGGATTCGTCGATCCCTGTATAGGGTGCTTTGTGGCATCACAGTGACTCCTGCAATAGCCTGGTCCCCGGCTGGTCAATCCCCTCAAATTTGGAGCGAGAGGGGACGGGAGCGTAAGGGAACAAGCAAGAGAGAGAGAGAAACGCAAGGGGGAGGGGGAAATAGAGGGAGGTATAAATTAATAATGAAAACTTACACTATATCTTGCTATTGTAAAACTTGGGGAGAACCGAATGAGAACTAAGATGTTTGTCTTGACAAGTTACAAAATGTACCCAGATATATTTTCAGTAGCTCAAGTAAGCTAGGAGCTTCCCCAACAGAACATGGTGGATCCCATGTAAGAAGTTGAACTGTTCCTCTGTTTTGGACTGTGCCGAATTCCGGTAAATCTTTGCCAGATTGGAGAATAGCTGCTACTTGGTAAAACTTTTCAAGTGCTGTAACTAAGACAAAGAAGCTGACCTGGCAGTCTGAGTACAGGAGCTCCGTCACAGCATGATTATTTATTTAACATTTTATGTGATCATTGACTTGATTGCAAAGATGACTGACTGACTGAAAATAAGTAAAAAAAATAAATAAAATAAAATGATGTATTTATTTTGTTCTCCTGTTGTATCTAAGTCTGTGTACAATGGACCACATTGTTGTCATCAAATTTGTTCAGATTTATGCTGAGATCAACTGTACAATGCTTTCTTGAAAAATATATATACTAGGCAGGTGTTCAGTCCACTACAGTATACTATACAGAAAAATAAAAATTGGACTGATAGAGCTGCATTCTGTAAATTGACAGGTCTCTCCTCGTCCGGTTGCCCACACCTGTTTTGTGTCAGCTGGAGAAAGTAGCAAATCAACAATAGAAGAATGAACTACAGATGCATATCTCTCCCTGTTTTAAAGCAGACCTGTCACTTCAGATATGTCATAAAGATACCATATTAAAGAAAAACTTGTATTTCGAGTTTTAATTTGAATGTTGTGGCAAAAACTGATATCTACTGTCTTGCCTGAGGGGAAAAGGATGAGGAGTATCCCATGATGACGTTTTTTTTTTTTAAAGTTTTTTTTTTTTGATTTCTGCAAGAAATCAGCACATTTTAAATAATTAATGAAACACTTCCCTGGTAGAGATGTCGCAAACTGCTCGCCACGGTTCGCCGCGAGCTCCGGTCAGCTGACACATCCCGGCCAATCTCCAGCAGACCCTCCCTCCCAGACCCTCCCATCTCCTGGACAGCATCCATGTTGAAGCTGCCTTCCACATGGATGCTGTCCAGGAGATGGGAGGGAGGGTCTGCTGGAGATTGGCCAGGATGTGTCAGCTGACCGGAGCTCGTGGCGAGCAGTTCGCGGGAAGTTCGAGAACGGTTCGCGACATCTCTATTCCCTGGCTGTCAAACAGACAGATTTTTTTTTTTTTTTAAATGTAAATTTACTTGAGTGCCCCTACTCCTACCACATACACACACATGCCTCAGACCAGTGTCCACTATGCTGCTCGTGCGCACATGCTGATGCACGGAGGGAGCCCTTCAGGGCTATTTCCCATGAAGAGACTGAGAGACTCTTTGTGAAGAAAGGGGAGAGCTCATCAAAGCTGCAGTTCTTATGGACTGGAACTTTTGCAAACTGTTTTTAAGATCTACTCCCAATGTATGCATGTATACGTTGTGGTGTATCTACTAAACAGGGATAGTTTTACCCAGTGTGCAGTGCAGTGTTCCTTTACCAAATCTGCAATGTTGTATGTTGCAAGTTGCAAATGTGACTATAGTGATCCTTTAATTGATACTTATGGGTCTTGTGTTTTTTATTTTTTTTTGTAATTCTATTTATTTTTTCACTTTACATCCCTCCCCTTCCCCCCAGTTTAAGGTTAGTAATGATCTTATCACAGACTAGATGCTGACAATATATCTGTCACATCGCATTACAGGAATGGCTGTACTGCAAGCTAGTCTCTGTAAGGCTATGGCCGTTTTTAAATCTTCACAAGAAATGAGAATGCACAATACAAAGGGAGCTGGAGAACACTATTTTCCCAGGGCATTTTCAGGATTAATTTTTGTTTGCATAGACCACGGTAACATTAATTGTGCCGAGCACATCAGTTTTTTCATTTAATAAGGGTATTAAGGACTAATCTATGGAATTTTGCCAGCATGGTGAGCACTATCTACAGCCATGCTTGTTGAATTGAAAATTTGTCTCTACCTCTTTTTTGAAATACATATTGTGGGAGGGAAGGTTATGCTTCTTTTGCCACTTTCCATTTCTGTTTTAGAAGTATAGTGATGCAAGCTGACAATGTAGCATTTGTGAGTCTCTCATGGTGTATTTTAATCTATTTTGAGGGGCTGTTTTTAATAATTCATGACTGCTGTGATTTTTTTTTATTTTTTATTTATTTATTTTTTCCTTCAATTCATAAGTGAGTTTTCTAGTATTTATGATGTAGAATTATTATTATATTTTTATATTATAGCAAAATGTTAGCTGCAGGTTGTGCTTTTATTCTTCAAAATTCTTAGTATTTCTCTTATTTTGAATGGCATTGCATTTTTGGCTGTCTAGGCAATATCAGGACACATGTAAATTGGATTAACTCTTGACGTTGCCTCTAACATTTGAGATAGCGGGTAACTATTATGTCTAGAAGAGTAAAATAATTTGACTTTGGACTACACAATCCAAATCTTTAGTGAAACAAATTACTGAACCAACATCAAAAAAAATAAAAATAAAAGTGGTAATGCGACCCTTTGACCAATTACTGCCTTTTCAGTCCTTGACAGGTAATGTTAAGCATGAAGTCCCTTGACATTTTCCAAACTGTGAGACTATGGGCTCATGCCCTATATATCCAGGCACCTCAAGTATATTTATATACTGCTAATTCCAGAGAAGGTGCATTCCCCACAGCCTTCTTCCATACATGTCATAATGCCCTGGACAGGATGAAATGGCTGCTCAACCCACAATGACGCAATTTGTTTATCACAGTTTGGAGCATGCTGGAAATTATGGGCCGTGAATGTGCCAGTGGGTCAGAGGAAAATTCTTATGCAACTTCTTGCAGCACACTTATGTGCAGTCCTTATAAAGTGCAAAATACGTAATGTATGTAAATGTTTGCTGGCAGTATCAGTTTGGCTATCACTATGTATAGATCAGGTGTAGGCAACTTTCTCCACTAAAGGTGATGTGGACTTTATCTCCCTAATCCTGAATGTATGCTGTTTAAAGTCCCACAATAGTGACAGAAATACTTTAAAAAGGTAATAAACTTCCCTTCCAGCGCTGCATGGGTCTGCCACGACTGGCTCTGCCCCCGCTCCGCCATCTTGGCTGAGATCATCAAAATGGACTATTGCATTGGTAGGCTATTGTGCATGCGTGACAAAATGCTGTGCTGCTCCAATCTACATCTCCTCCTAGCGATGCTTTGAATCAATGCTTCTCTGAGGAATGTTCAGTGTTTCCGCGCCGCACTAACCCAGGAAGCACCTCTGCTGACCTTCTGAGTGACTGCCACTAGAGGTGTTCCTAGGCAGGAACTTTTTTGGATATTGTTGGTGCAGTAATTTGGTTCTCTGAAGATTTGGATTTTCTCTGAAAAGGCAGTGTTTACGTTGGAAAGCCTGCAGGGACAGGGTATACATAACAGAACTACATTAACTCTTTCCCGACCACAGATGAAAATTTTCTGTCAACTGTGTCCTTCAGTTACAAATTTCCGTCATTTCCGTCAAAGCCTGCAGGGACAGGGTATACATAACAGAACAACTACATTAACTCTTTCCCGACCACAGATGGAAATTTTCTGTCAACCGTGTCCTTCAGTTACAAATTTCCGTCATTTACTAAAGTTAACCCCAGATTGCCGCGATCGCAGGGTTAATGGTGCTCCGGTCTGCCTCTGTATTAGAGGCAGACTGGGAGCACCCGATCAGGCTGCCCCAGCACCAGTGCTCGCTCTGACAGGCTGTCAGAGCGAGTACGTGCTCAGTGTACTTACCTTCCGTCTCCCTGCACTTCCGGGTTCTGTGTGAAGTGCAGGGAGACGGATCAGAGCTGATCCTCTTCTCCCTGTGTAAAAAAAATAAAATTAAGTTAAATCCCCCTTCCCCTGCTTTAATAAAATCAACCCCTTCCCTGCCAGCTGATCACTGCCTACAGTGATCAAAATACAGATCACAGTATTATACTACAATCTAATTTCTTTTAACCCGTGAGGATTAACTTTTTATTTAATTTAAATATTATATAATATATATATTTGCTAGCTGGAGTGGGTGGAAGTTATGGGAAAGGTTGGAATTTACTGTTAGTGCTGCTTACTGCTAGTTAGGGGTTAACGGTAAAAGAAAAGTTTAGAAAAAATTTTTAAAGTGTAAAAAAAGTTAAAGTGTAAAGTTTTTAAAAACAGGTTTTACAAAGTAAAAAAAATACATTTAAAAAATGCTCATTACCACTACACTTGGTACAAGCTAGCGGAAAAATGATCCCACGCTAAGGTTCAAAATATGCCTTCTGAATTACCCTGGGATGTCTTCTTTAAGAAATGGTATGGCTTTATGGGGTATTTGGATTATATAGCCTGGTAAAATACTCTATAAAATGCAACATGGGCACAGTGTAAAAATTTAAAGTTTGAAAAGAACTGGAATGGCTGTGTCCCAAATGTGCCCCTCCGATGTCCACATATACCTGGCAAAGGTGCATACGGGGGTATTGCTGTACTCAGCCGACATAGCTGAGCAACATATGAAGTATTATACAGTCGTAGCACACATACGATTTACAAAATATACTGATCAAACTCACTTTGTGTGTCAAAAAGGCAAAAAAACGCTTATTACCACTACACTTGGTACAAGCTAGCAGAAAAATGATCCCACGCTAAGGTTCAAAATATGCCTTTTGAAATACCTTGGGGTGTGTTCTTTAAGAAATGGTATGCCTTTATGGTGTAGTTGTAATATGTAGCCTGCTCAAGTGCTCCAAGGTGGGACACGGATGCATCAAAACCCTCCATGAAGATTCACACTTAAAAACATTAACTTGTCACGTCTCTTTTACAGCAGTGTAACTTCACAAAATAGTGTCTAGGACTCTAGGTCATACATTGGGCATATTGTTTTACTCAGAAGATCAGAAGACTTAGCTGAGCATAGTTTGGGGGGTTTGAACTTAGTGGCACATATGAAATGTACAAAATGCCCAGCAAAAATGTAATCTGTATGTAATAAAAATGACCAAAATTATTTTTTACCACATATTTTGGCATATATTGGTGAAAAAATGGGGGCATTTTAAGGCACAATATGCACCATATGAGATACCCTGGAGTGTCTAATTTTACAAATGGTAGGCCTTTGTGGTTTATTTTATTTATTTATTTTTGAACAGTCAAACTGCTATACTAACCCAAATTGAGGCATATGCCCATTAAATCCACCTCTCAAAATTCTACTGTAAATGTTGAAACGGACAGGTCTCCTATATGGCACTGTGGCTTTACGAAATAGTGCCAAAGACGTACAATGGGGGTATCGTTGTACTTGCAGAAGTAACTGAACACAAAATAAAACTTTGTACAGGAATAGCACACACCAACTTTACAAAATACACATGAGAAGTTCTTTGTTATAAGTTTGTGTCCAAAAAACTAAATTTAGCAGAGATTGGCGGTGAAATGGCTATGTAGAAGACAATAGCCTGTGATGTCTACTTTGTATAAATATATACTTTGGGTTACAATTTTGTTTTCTTTTATGGCTATTAAGCTTACAAGACAAACATACCAAATTCTAAAATCGCTCCACATTAAAAGTTTATTTTACTTGTGCTTTGTGACCTGTAACTACCAAAAAAACCTTAAAATCCCAGACACATTATATATTCTGTAAATCCGAACTTTTCTGTATTTTTTTTAATAATAAAGTGTGTGTGTGTGTGTGTTTATGTGTGTATGTATATATATAATGTGTAACATCAAATTTAAGCCCTCTCTGTCCTTTTAAAAAAAAAAAAAACAGTATATAATATGTGTCGGTGCAATAAACGAGAGAGATGCAAATTGCAGTTGAACGCATACAGCAAGAAAATGTAAAAATTGCTTGTCATTAAGCGTAAGACAAACTACTGAAGCTGTGTCCTTAAGGGGGCTAAACTGTAGTTTTGGTTACTATATTCTCCCTTTAAAGTAAGGCATAGAGTGTAGCACAGTGTAAATTATTTTTGTCATTTGATAGCAATGGAGATGTTGCATTGCATTTACAATACCAATCACAGACAACTTGTGCTGCTGTAAATAATACTGAATCTAAATT